TTTTTTTTTCACATTTTTCGATTTTCTTAATTGTCAATGCATAGAGAAGTTAGTTCTTCTTTTTTTTATTTCTGTGCATATATATGCCACTGTGTTTGTTCAGTTTCCTTCTGTCACTTCAGCAACTTTAAACTGTAGAATAAGGGAAAATTAGTGACTGCACTACGTTGAAACAAATCTTATTAGGAACTAAGGGATTTTACTGAAGCCTAGGGCCGTTAAAAACAAACACTAGTTTCGATTTTTTTCATGATAATTGCATCCTAAATTCCTACAATTCCTACAGAGCTTTTCTCCATTTGTTCCTCATTAGATCCTCCGTTTTACAACCTACTGTTCTGCACTCCCCTCCTTTTTCACCCTTTAGTCTGCATTCCTCAGTTCAATTTAAAAAAAAAAAAAAAACCAAAAAAAATAAAAAACCAAAAATTTTTGTTTTTATTAAAAGCAAACTGATTGCTCAGCAGCAAAGTAAAATGTTTGTCGTTTACACCGTTTTATTTTTTGATGTTTTGTTTCTGAACTAATAAAATCAAAAAAAAAAAAGCACTGAAAATCTAAAGGTGTTTTTTCCACGCTTTTGCACATTCAACAAAAGAAAAAGCAAAGAAAAAGGAAAACAATTGTTTTGGCCATAAGTCTAGAAGATTTTGGTTTTAGAGGTACTATTTTCAACTGTATACATTTTTCTTCAAATATTTCGTTCACAAATTCTTACAACAGTTATTTCACTAATTTAACAATCTGTTCCTTTTTTTTCGTCATTCTTTTCTCAGTCATTTTTTTCTTTCATCTTCCTCCTCAGTTCTTCACTTACTGATTTCCACTAACTTTAACTGTCAATCATAAAAAAAATTTTTGTCATTTACAGTATTATCTCAAATTACGGTGCTATTTTATGTATAGGCAAAACGATGGGTTAACTTTGTTTTGGTGAATGCAAAAAAAAAAAAAAGAAGTATTTGGGCAAGCAGTTAAATAAGGAAATAAATAAATAAACAAATAAGAAGTAACTTTCCATGATGTTATCGAGATGTAGTCCTGAGAATTGAGTTGCAGTGGTAGTGGTAGTAGTGGTGGTATTGGTAGTAGTACTGGTGCTGGTGCTGGGTGCACTACTGTCGTTGTACTTGTTACGTCCGATAGAGGTTTGTAGTAGTTTTCGATGTTTTTTATCCGGTAAGTTCAGTTGATCGGGATGACGGTGATGATCTTCTGTTGTACTGCGATGTTCAAAATAGTCGCATCGCTGTAATAATAATAAAATAACATCAAAACTGGGCAAAGCAATCAACTGTGATGAACACAAAAGATTAAATTTTTTTTTTGCTTTTTATTCCTTTTTTTTTTTAAGTTTTTTGAAAAGAATATATTTTTTTTTTGTTCTTCTTTTTTTCTACTCGCAGATGATTAAAAGTCTTTTTTTTTTTTCTACTCACAGATGATTAAAACCTTTGCTGTTCTAAAGAGAAGACAAAAAAAAAAGAAGAAGAGAAGAGAACTGAAGCAATCAATGTGTTGGTATTCAATTTTGTTCTGTGCAAGTATTAAGTTTGGATTTTGGCAACAAATAACAGCAACAAGACACCGAATAGAAGGAAAAAAAAAAAAGGCACAAAAGTTCTTAACGTAAACGTCTTGGGATATGCACATATAAGACGTCAAATGATAATCTATGTTTGCATAGATAGGAAAAAAATGAATGAAACTGAGAGATGGATGCTAATCAAATTGCAACTAAACATACACTGAAGATTACAGAGATGAAATGACAATAGAAAATTTGCTTTTTTTTTTTTTTTGCTTATACTCTGCTGCTATCAATATCTGAATCGGAATTTAAGCAAGAAAAGAAAGAAAAAAAAAAAATTTTTTTTTTCTTAAATAAAAAATCAATCTTTTTTTTAAGAAACTTTTTTTTTTTTTTATTTTTTATTCTTCTTAGTTTTTTAGCTCATAAATTAGCTATGGTTACGGACAACAGTTTACTACTGTTATTAGTAGCGTTAAACTGCTGCTGCTGCTGCTGCTGTTTTTTCTATTTTGCCCTTTCAAATTTGAAG